TGTGGCAAAGCAGAAGATATAGGTGAGGTGTGAAATCTGCGACACCGGTATTTTCCCACCACCCGTGTTTCGCCCTCAACGCATTTTTAAGTCCATTTAAAACCCATATCTACGCATTTTTACGTCCATTTAAAACCCCATATCTACGCATTTTTACGTCCATTTAAAAACTCATATCTTCGCATTTTTACGCCCATTTTAAAACCCATATCTACGCATTTTTACGTCCATTTAAAACCCATTTATGTAGATGTTCTCCGAAATCAGCATCAAACTCACACAGAGCCAATCCAAATTGGTAGAGGCCTTTAAAACTCCGCAAAATAACCCACGTTTAGAAAATCTCGTCAGGGATTCAAAACCATGGCCATATGCTTTATCTTTAGCCATTTTATGTAGATTTGTAGTCTTCACCACACATTGATCCAGTGGGTGGTTGGTGGGCGCTCTAGTGTGGTTAGCTTCTTCCATCCTTTCGAACATCTATAATTGCTTTTATTTCTCCTCCTTGTTTTCTGTGATGTTATACTCTCTAGAAACAACTCTAATCATCTGTATTTATATAACCTATTTGGATTTGCAAGGGCTGGGGAAACTCGGACTATAACTTTAACAAATCAAACCACCAAAAAAAAACCCATTGATTCTTATTTTATCCGCCCACTATAATGATGTTGGCACAATGGTGTTTTCGTGTGACTTTACTATTTTTGACCTCATCTCTCCTCCTTGTTCTCTTTGTGTGTTACTCTCTAGAAACACATCTAATCCACGGCAATTATATGTGTTGCAAGTGCTGTAAAACTCTGACTAAAGCTAAAAATACAAAAGAAACAAGACAACAAACAAATAAAAACGTGGGTGGTTGGCGGGAGCTCAGGTGTGGTTTGCTTCGTCCTTATCTCCCCTCCTCCTTTTTTGTGTTTGTTACTCTCTTGTAACACCTCTACTCGTCGGCACTTGTGTGACCTTATTGTGTTGCAAGTGCCGTAAAACTCTTACGAAAACAAAACAACAACAAAATTGATACGTATGATAATTAGTTCTCATCCAATTAATCTTCAATATTATTATTTCTCTTCCCACTCCAGGTTGGCAGTTTGGTGCTTTCATGTGCAAAGCGTTGCCTTACCTACAGGCAGTGGCCGTGTGTGCCTCGGTCAACACGCTAGTGGTCATTGCAGTGGACAGGTAAATCTTGCTTCCTTTAATCTTAACAAAATCAGCCATAATATTATATAATAATATGATAAAATA